AAATGATTCAGAATCACTACAAACAATGGAAGAAAGGTATGTACAGTTTCATGTTGTATAAACTTGGCGTTATTCTGACATAAGGGGTTTAATCTTTAAACTTATGCTTTGTCTTGATTTTCAAGACGCGAATTACTTTCTCGGCGGCGTGTTGGACCCATCGAAAAAGGCTTTACGTCGGAGCGCCAAGAAAGCAGTTTTTGGCCCGTTTGAAGTTTTGGTCGATAACACATTGTATGGACGCGACCTCACGAAGAAAAGTGACGGGCAAATAGGAGGAGTGCAAAATATAATTATCTCAGATCCGGAATACTCGGATTTACGAGCATTGGAGGCACATAAAATTAATGATTTGGAAGATATGATTTCCAAGTTCTTCCAGTTCCGGAGTGCTATGATAGAAGAAGTTATATAACATTACTCATAGAATTTTGTTTAGGAGGGATTAGTCTTTAGACGTGTACGATAAAATATTTAATTAAATTTTATTACTAATATTTGTGAGGTATGCGATATATATATTATTTACTGGATATGTATGCACGGCGAACATTCATCGCCATACCTTGCCAATTGAATCCTGAAGTGGGTAAAAATACGTTGTCTACTTCCTCATTGAGCGTAATTACTGTTTACGTAAGCTGTTAACTGGAGCGTATTTGTCGTATGTAAATCCCGTCACCATGTAAATCCCGGATTTACATATGTAAACTAGTGTAGCATGTTGACATCAACCGGGGGATAACAATGATAATAATATACAAAAATATCAAAATTATAAAAATTAAAAGAAGCCGTCTAAGTTCAGCGATTTCCGATCTTAGTTGTTGAACCTCAAGATGAGTTTCAACAACTTTCGATCTTAATAGTTGGTTCTCCTGACGAACTTCAGTAAGCTGTTGGCTTGCTGCAACAACTTTTGCTTCAATTATGTGTTCCACAACCGAGACTATATTATCTATATGAGATAATATAATCTCATGTCGTGGGGATGATCTTTAATTTCCGTTTCAACTCCTTCACTGAATCCGAGATTTGTTACCAAGATTGCAACAGTACCTGGGGTCCGTTTATCAAGCACCCCAACTAAATCCCGGACTGCCCCCGGCCCTATATACCAATGAATAAAATTATTTGTATTTTATCTGATAATCCCAAATTTGAAAATTTTTATTAACATTACCTATATTCTCTTGTTCTCGGTATTTACATTGTATGCAAATATTAACATATGGAGTGTTGATATGTATATCAACTCCACCATCCCCCCCGTTTGTTAATAATAAACATGTATCATCATAGCCATTAACCAATTGAAGAACGTTCACTGCAGGCCGTCCACCGTACGCCAGGGCTGGGTACCTGACTGGCGACTTTCGCAAGCTGCGGCCACGGAGCGCTTTCAATTCAAATGATTATTGCATCTTATTCACCACACCCGGATCCTAGTCACAGACGGTTTGTCGGCAACAGATAATGAACGTTCATAACAAGTAAATCATCAATCGGGAACCCCAAAATGATTTGATGTATCCTATTCACCACACCCGGATCCTAGCCACAGACGGTTTGTCGGCTACGGGAATCGATATATATATATTACACCTACCGTGCTTATCGAATCCCGAATTTACACCCAAGTGGCAGCGTACCTTCGGATACTACATTAAAGGATTACTCGACATAATAATTGTCACGGCTGATGGTGAAATCGGCTGATGGTGAAATCCACGTGATCTTTTTTATTACCTAATAATCGTA